TAGGAAGAACAGAATTCTTCAGTTTTCAATTTTTGCATTTTTATATTTCCCAAATACAGTATCAGAATCGGCCACCAGATGGCGCCATAAAGTATCCCCCTGTATCTTTTTGACCTGTTATTAACAATATTGCATTGTTATGCAGCGCAATGGCTTCCCTGGGCAATTGGAGCAGCAATAAAGACAGTGACAACCTGGCTGCTGAGAACTTATCAAGAATGCAATGAGTTCTTCTGAAATGTAACATTCCAAACTCCAACATACACACATAAACACTAACATATACTTATGTAGCCATTCATTCAGAGACCCCATTCATTCAGTCACTGAGAAGCAGAGAAATATATCTTGCTTCTACTTATCTCTATGGACGGTTTCAAAGCTGGGCCACAAGCCTCACTCACTCACTTTTATTCTCTCATTTTCTATCCCCACTGAAGTCTCCCTCTCTCTTTCTCACACACACACAACCACACACGCAGAATGTGAGGCTGCATACATTTGCCCTAATTCTCATCTACATATTCTTAAGGTTTGGAGTTTTTTCTTCTCTTTTTTCTTTTTTGTATACATTTATATAAGTAAACCATTCATGTGACAAAAAAAGATGTCTGAATACACCTACACCACTTATCAACACACTTATCAAGAGGGGCATGATGTGTGCCTCCATTTGAGTATGCACAGAATGGTAGATCCAAGATGGCTGCTGTGCAACATGGGAAAGAGCCCTAGGAAGCTGGACAAAAATAAATAAATAAATGATTGGGTAATAATAAAAAATAAATGTTAAAAAATTCACTCAAGACTCTATGCTCCTGCACGTTATGTGGATTTTCTGTAGCATAAATATGAGCTGCCATCACAGCTTTCTACAAAGCTAAGCAACAGTTACCTCTCACAATGATCACCTTTTGTGCTAGACATCCTTCCAAAAATGAACACTGCCCTCTTAAGCATTTGCAGCAAGGATGAATCAAAAATGTGAGATCACATTATCGTTCATTCAGGTGCACAGATGGAAAACAAGCAGGAAGAAAGGAAACTATTCCTGGAGGAGGAAGGTAACAACCCAGCAGCTTAGAACTGTGGTATTTTCAAGTCTCACAAAGAAAGAGAAAAGTGTCCCAAAAGTGAAAAGGGTGAGACATGGCCCAAAAAGGATGCAGGATGAACTTTGGGTTCCCCACACCCCCTCAAAACTATGATCACTTCACATCTCTTGACTTTGCCAATTTCCACTTTATGTTGGTTTTTAAATGCAGCAAAATACTGTATGTAACAACTGAGATGTATCAAATAACTGGGAAAACAACTCACAAAAGCTAGAGTGAACTAAGGTGCTGAGTAAAAAGAGCACACCGGGGAAGTGATGGGGAGATGATGACTAAAATTATGTCTAATTGAGGAGGAAGCTAAGTGACATTCCGTGAACAAGGAGGAAACAAAGCAACATTTGTAAATGCCAGTGAAAACGTTCAAAAGTAGAAGTTCTGAAACATGAAAGAGCCAATGTTAAACTGCTGGATTAGAATTTGGGAGATCCAAGTTTTACTTCTACTGATATACTCACTTTCACTCAACCTGGGCTACCTCAGAGGGTAGTTGAAAGAGTGAGAGATGTTTGTGCTTTCTTAAGGTTGCTAGAAAAAAAGGAGGAAGTCAATGCAACTAAATAAATATGACATGCTATATTTTTCACTTCTATACTGCAATCTCTCAATGGGAAGAATAAAATGGCCGAAATCCAGCAGCAAATCACAACTAGGGTAGAACATTTGAATCTGTGGAATGTGTTATGTCAGCACTTATGTAGCTTCCACTGAATTGCAACTTATTATCGGATTTCAGCCAATATACTGAGACCTCATTCTGAATAATTTACCTGTGGTATTTTTGGCGATTTCTCCCACCCCATCCACAAAACAAACGAGAAATTCATTTCGCCACTGGTGTTATGACTACACTCCGTTGTTCATTTCTCCTTTGATTGAGGTCATATGTGACAATGTCTCATTCCATTGTGGCATTAGGTGGTTTTCACAACATACAGCAACCCCCCCCCCCCACTAAAGTTCCTGTACTGGCAATTCAAATGTAAAACTCATACAAATGAGATTCTAAATTCAAAGAGTATGTGTCTTTCTGCTTCCTAAGTTTAAACTCTTCCTTCCTTCCTTCCTTCCTTCCTTCCTTCCTTCCTTCCTTCCTTCCTTCCTTCCTTCCTTCCAGACTCTCCTGCATACAAGTTAACAGCTTTTCTCAGAGCAGAAAAATAGGAATGGGTGATTAATACACCTGCTGAATGTCTGCCTATCATGTAGCTTTTAAAGGCATGTGCACCCTCCCATAAAAATGTAGTCAATAGTATTTCTGGCATGCACCATCACTATTCAATAATGTCCCCCACAGCAGAAAGTATTTACAGATCCACTTGTGAGATTATTTTCTAGTGGTTTTCCAACTGTGGAAAAAATGGGAAAAATTGTATGGGTGCATCTGTAGGATGCAATATGCATCTGACATTCCAGCCCACTTAACAATTATACATTACAAAGAAGTTCCTAAGGAATTTTGTGGGATTTATTCTCAGGTAAACTGCAGAAGACTACAGTGGACCCTCTACTTAAGGAATTAATCCGTATTGGAATGGTGGCTGCAAGTCAAAAAGTCTGTAAATCGAATCTGCATTGACCTACAATGCACTGAAAACCGATTAATCCCATAACCAGTGGTTTTTATTCTATTTTTATTCCATTTTGGTTTTTTCCTGGTCTGTAAGTCGATTCTCTGGCTACAAGTCGAATCTAAATTTTGCAGCCAGAGAAGTCTGTAACTCGAAAAGTCTGTAAGTCGAGCCGTCTGTAAGTCGAGGGTCCACTGTATAACCTAAGAAAGCAATCACATACTGAGTCTTGTGTGCAGTGGTTAAACTGCTGTACTGCAGCCAAAACTCTGCTCACGACCCGGGATTCAATCCTAGGTAGCAGGCTCAGGGTTGACTCAGCCTTCTATCCTTCCAAGGTTGGTAAAATGAGAAGGGGGGGGGGAATGTATAGCCTGCATAATTAACTTGTAAATTGCCCAGATAAGTGCTTGAAGCACTATGGGGCAGTATATAAGCAGCACGCTTTACTTTCACTTGGGAATAAGTTCTACTAAATACAGTGAGACTGCTGATTAGACATTGCCAAGAGAGAGTCCTCTCTTGAACTAGTACTATTTCAATTCCTCATCCATAAAGCATATGTCCAAAGTATGCAGAAAATGGGTTAAAGTTACAGACACTGAAAGGGGGGGGGGAAGAGCAGTTAAAGTATATATTTTTTGATGGAGAAACTGCCAAAAAATGCAGAAATATGCTTATTTGAGAAATACTGCAGAGGTAAAATAAAGATTAACAACACAGTTAATAGAACACTGCCTTTGCCTTGCTCTTTTCACTCATGCCCACTCTATGTCTCCCCATCCTGTTGAACACACTGGAAAGCAGAGGTGGTGGTGGGAGGGCTGCCCTTCTTTGCTTATAGTGGCACAACATGCCTAGTAACAGAAAGTCTGGAGCACTGTAAACTGCTATCTCTAGAAAAACACATTTCTAAAAGAGGTCTCACCATGAAGGGTGTGGCACAGGGTTTTTAAATATTTCTGTTTTATCCATAATCCAACAAGTTATGAACAGAGAAGCCAACTAAGATGCACAGACTTTCAGAATGAGCAACAAAACTGGAAATAACCACTTGCCCGGGAATCTTTAAAAAAAAAGAAAGAAAAGCAATTTTGGAAGAAGGTAAAAGGGAGATGGCTTGTGTAAATCCATCAGCACTTCCAAGAATGAAACCCAAACCTCATCTGTGTGGGGGATTTTTCATTGCCTTTCACTGATGACTACTTAAACCACTGTGGACCAGTTTTAAACGATTAATCTTCCTGACCCACCACTAAGCGAAAGAGTACTGGAAAGAACAGAGAAGCCAAGTGCGTCACCTCTAGACCCACCAGTGACATCGATCTAAACAGGGATTTTCCAATTTGTTCTTTTTAATGATTTAAATGGAACTCTCACTCTGGAAGAGTGTGAACACCTTTCTTTACAGCACACTAATTCTGATTTATTCATGTCAACGTCAGAAACGACGCTTGGCAAACAAGGCCAGATGGAGGGGAGGGAGATAATGGGTTTTTCTGTTTGCCTTAGAAACTAAACAGCTGCAGGGAGCATCATCTGTGTGGCCAGCCAATAACTTTTCATCTTGTAGCCTTCTCCCATTTATCAACATGAAGCCAATTTAATTTGATAATGGGGAGGGAGGTGAGAGACAGAACATTCTTGGAAAAAAAAACCCACAGAACTCATCTAGTAGACCCTTAAAAGCAAACCAGGAACGTTCTTTCTCTCCGTTCTTTCTTTTAATCCTATGGAATAAATATATTTATTTATATATCAAGTTCTCCTCAAAATACAGGTATGATGAGTGGGTATTCTTGCTGCTATTTTCATGGGGGAATTTTTTTTAAAAAAAATCACCATTTCAAGGCGCAGAGCGGTCTTCCCAGCACAGTCTAAGATCAACAGGATCCGAACCAAAGTCAAGCAGTTCAAAGTCTAGCGTCCCTCACACATTTTATCGGGCGTAAGCCTCAACGGTCTCCGAGGAAGCGAGCCGCCCCGTTGGATATTCACCGGTAACTAAGTAAACTTAATGCCCAACCGAGGACGCGTAAGGTGACGCTCAAGGAAACGAGAACACGATAACGCATCTCTCGCTAATCTCCATTGGGTAAATTCAACCAGGTGCTTCGGGTAACCGAACCGGGAGAAATCAACGGGACAGGTGTCCCGATCCCACCCCGGTTTACTCGGAAGTAAATGACGCCGCGGCTACCGCCCCCAATGTACCTCCGAGGGCGACAAGCCGTGGGTCTCCTCTCTCGGTCGGATCGCGCCCCGAATCCGGACCCCACGCCTCTCGAGGCGGGCTGTCACCCCGTCGACTTACCCTCGCATAAGACCACGACGCTCAGGGCCCATCTTGCGAGCGGCATCTTCTTTCCGCCGTCCGATAATCCCATTTTCCCCTTCCCAATTTCCGCGGCGGCAAGAGTTTAGACTCTCTCTTCTCCGGTGCCGCTTATAAACTGCACGAGGGCACCCGAACTGCGGCTGCTGCTGTTGCTGCTGCTCCTTTTTCGGCTCCCCCCTCCCCCCCCCGTGTTCCTCCCGAGAAAGTCTCCGGAACGGCTCCGCGTGTGGCAGGCGCGGCCGGGTGCTTTGCTCCGGTCGGCCCGTGGTGGCGAAGCTCTGGGTCAGCTCCTTGGCGTTTTTCTGCTCCTCGCCCGGCCGCGAAATGTCAACAAGCGCCGGCGCTCCAGGTGGCTTTCCCCGCCGTGAGGAGAGGGGCCAGCCTGAAGGCTGCGCTGCGCTCCCGGCGCTCTCCTTCGCAGATGGGC